GTCTACCGGTCCATACCGGTCTACCGGTCCATACCGGTCTACCGGTCTAGGGGGAAACCGCTGATTTTTTTGATTTAATTCAGAAAAAAAATCAGAAAAATCAAAAAAATCAAAAAAATTAAAAAAATCGAAAAAATCAAAAAAATCGAAAAAATCAAAAAAATCAACAAAAATCAAAAAATCTTTAATCTCTGTCGTTCAAAACACCAATCAAGGGTGGAGCAGCTGATATTAGATTTTATTGATTTCAGTGATATTTTTGATTTTGTTGATTTTTTGTTTGATTTTTCTGAATTTTTGATTTTTTTGATTTTTCTGATTTTTCTGATTTCTGTTTTGATTTTTTTGTTTTCTTTTCGCATTTTGTTGATTTAAAATCAATTGATTTAAATCAAAAAAATCAAAAAAACCAGAAAAATCAAAAACATCAAAAACATCAAAAAAATCAGATTTTAGCTGTTTCCCCCTTGCTACCGGCCTAAACCGGTCTGACTGGTCCAAACCGGTCTACCGATAGTGACAGAATACTGATGATACGCTAGTTTATCAGGAAAACCCGACCTATCGATAAAATATCGATCTACAGACAACAGGCTGCAGCCTAAAATGAAATCCTCTTGTGCAGTGAACTCTCTGGTGCGTTACCTTCATACCTTGAATGCAATCATAGAGCAGGAAAGTGAAAAATATAGATCAGTATAGACCGGTATGGACCGGTAGACCGGTATGGACCGGTAGACCGGTAGACCGGTATGGACCGGTAGACCGGTATGGACCGGTAGACCGGTATGGACCGGTATGGACCGGTAGACCGGTATGGACCGGTATGGACCGGTAGACCGGTATGGACCGGTATGGACCGGTAGACCGGTATGGACCGGTAGACCGGTATGGACCGGTAGACCGGTAGACCGGTCGATCCAAAACCCAGACCGGTACCGGACCGGACCGGACCGGCCGGTAACCGGTACCGGTTCCATCTCTGCTTCCTAATTCCAAGTAACGGAAATAGATGATCATCTGAAGTCAAAGGATAACACATCATAGTTATAAAGTCAAGGCTGTATGCGAAATATTAAACATGTCAGAATGATCAGTTCTACATAAGCACAGCATATTGTTAATAATCGAAAAACATTAAAGTGACCTCTCACATAATCGTTGTTGAAAGAAAAATGGCCGAAAGAAGAGAAAACAGAAATTGAATATTCATTGACCCATGAAGCTGACGAATGACAACAACATCGTCTTATCGTGACAATGCACGACGGGAAGAACAATGACGCTTTGTATTAGTGTTTATGAAGCTATTAAATAAGAATGATACACAACATTCAATAGATTGATATCAAGACAAAATATGACAACAACATTAGAGCATCTCTCTTCCGAGTTGTTCTACGAAATATTTATTTATTTCCAGTTTCATGAAGTATTCAATATTTTTTCGAATCTCAATTCACAATTTGCTGCTATCGTTAGTAATATGTCATCACTTATTCCTATTTACTTGGGTCTAAACGGAATGAGTATGGCATTGACTGAGTTCTATTATACACAGTTATTGCAACCAAATATCTCTAATCATCTTATTTCATTATGTGTCTCAGATACATTAGCTATTGATAATGGTTTATGGTTAGCATCACATTTATCTATATTCATCAATCTTCGTCATTTATCTTTAATTGACATCAAACGTTCTTCTTTTGAATTAATTCTCAACGCATGCTCACCCAATACATCTCTCGTCATGTTTAGCGTGCATTTTCCAACTTTCTTTCGTGCTGTTTCTACATTTGAAGGTGTACCTGAAGGTGCATATTATGAACGAATCTTTCACTTATTTCCTTTGTTACGTGTATGTCATCTTCGTTTCTGGAGTCATATACAGAGTACTCTAGATCATCAAATACTTCTACCACTTGGTAAAGCTTTCATGCCGATTCAAACAAGTCTTTTAAACGTGCAATCAATTACACTTCGAGATTGCTCACCAGACTTTCTTTCACATTTACTTGAACATCTTCCTCAATTACAAGAGCTCAGCTTTAATCTAAGTACTTCTTGGCTACCTGCTCAACATCCATTAATGAATGGCGATAACAAGTAAGTTTCTTTTCTTAAACTTAGAATAAAAAATATGATATGTGTAAATGCATTCAATCATATTATCATAATAGATTATAGTTGAAAGTGAATCATGTTTGAATTGATAATATACGTTTTGAGTAAATCTTGTTTTAGTTGACTGTAAAGTATTTAATTGAGAGAGACGATTTATAGATATCCGTCAAAAATATGAAATTCCATGTGCAGCTGTAGATTGATGTATGTAATAAAAATGCGCAACATCTTTTATTTCCGATGAGATTAATACAATATTCAGAAATGAAGGATTTCGAATAAGACGAAAAACTATAAAAATGAAAGTACTTTACGATAAAGGATAATTACATTGGAAAGAAACAATTTGTCATCAAATGAGTTCAGAATAACTATGAGGATGTACTGGTAATAGTTTTGAATCATTTTTTATGGTTCTACTAATAAATTTGTTCGAAATTCTATTCATAACTTTTTTCTCAACAATATATTTTATTAAACATTAATCAACGGATAGATACCATATGGAAAACAATCAGAGAAAAAAGTCATAGAAGATATTGTCGATTTCAAAGAAACAACGTTTTCGAAATAAACGTGAATAGACGTGATTATAAATGATGAAAATAGCTAAATTTGATAGGATATTTGTTCTTTCTTGATCTATTTTAGTCGAATTTCTGGTATTGATAAACATTTGGCTCCCAACCTACGCTGTCTTAAAATAACGTCGAAATATGATACTCATTCTGTGGCACCACTTGATCGATTATTTGAGCGCGATGTTTGGTTTTCACTAACAAACTTCAAATTATTAGGATTGGTGACTGGTCCTCATGTTATTCATAACTTACTATCGATGCTTTCTGATCAATGTTTATATGTGTTGATTGTGAAATGGTATGCGTGGCCTTCGATCTCACTCTCGGACACAAGCGACATTTTATTAAATACGTTCCGACAACTGAAAGGACGAGTACCAATCGAACTTGAATTATCTTTAAATGAAGACAATTATTCTATTAGAGCTTTAACGATACCACGAATGGACAAGTGTTTATCTGCTTATGACTATCTAAACAAAAACACTGTTCAAGGGTATGTATAAATTTCTTTTTTTTTTTTCTTACAACAAACGGTGTTTCGAAATTTAGGCAAAGTCTCTGGCCATATACTGTGCCGGTCTTGAACAATCGTGCGGCATGCGTGAATAAGATTATCATGGATAGCATTCCCTCCCAAGACAACGATGAATTTCTGTCTTACTTACCAACTGTTGTTTCTTGGCATCAAATTACTTCACTAAGTATTGATGATCCATTCAACTTAGCTCAACTTCATTTACTCTTTTTGCAAACTACTAATCTACGTACTCTACAGCTGGATTGTAGCTTAAATCCTGATTCAAAAGATGATTCGAAGGAGCAAAATGTAATCGATCTTCTCAACGATGCTTCTTTGTGCAATATTCTTATGTCAAACGGATTACAACGGCTCAATCTTGATATGAATTGGGAACATCCAAATATGACAGACATTGCTGTTTTAATTGTGAAGCGATTGCCGCATCTACAAGTCATAGAGTTAGACTGTAATAATACTCAAGTACCTGAAACATTAGATATACTTATGAAGGGTCTTCCAAAATTGAATTTTATCATTTTTCATGGTGGTTTGCGAAGTGACGTTGAAGAGTTTACGAGAATGCGTGATCTTCGGAAGTACAGTACACGTGCTTATCGAACGGAAAATTATTACTGGTCGGCTTATGGAGCAATACTTTATGTGGGGCTTTGAGTACATTAATTAAACTATTATGTTTCTGTATTTGTTGGTGCTTGTATTTTTTGTTGTAAAAGTATGCTACATTGAGTGTTCAAAACTGTAATAAAAAAGATGGAGTGTATAAATTGATTCTTTGTATTTTTAATCTTTTTTTTTTTCGAATATTTTTATTAGAATCGAGTAAAAGCAATTAAAGACATACGAAGAGCAGAAATATTACAAATTATTCAGTGTTACAAGACAAATGTTCAATGATGTTCTTATTATTGCAAGTTGATAAAAGAAGTAGTCAAAGTTTCGACTACCATCGGTACATTCAAAAACAATGGAGAGTTGATAAAAAATGCTGTGAAAGCGAATATCTTTCTGCAGAATTTCATCAATTTTTTGTTTCATTTTACAAAATATAACTGTCATCATGATTCGATCTGATTTTTTATAAAGTATATGATCACATTTATCATTGTACA